TCCAGCGCTGTGGGCTTCATCGCCCCTCACAAAGGAGTTCAGAGAGGCCGTCCAGAGGCGGAACATGCGGCTACATTTGCTGGGATGCCCAGGCTCCTCCGTCCCCAAATGCCACGCACCCAGACATCAAAGTTTCTCTGCTGTCTGGGGGAGGATGGGGCGGGAGGAGGCCCAAATCAGCCACGAGCCCCAATCTGGATTTGACTTCTATTTTCCCCTTTCTGCATGGGGGACAGAGAGAGAAGAAGGGGAGAGAAGCCTTTGAAAATGTCTGCTGCTCCATTTCCTCCCTGATCGCTGCTCTCTGCTTAGCAATTCACCTCGCCGGCGGGCCCAGTGACACTCCCGTGGTGCACCTCTTAGCCACTCGGCAACTTTTTTCCCTTTTATGATATTTTGGGCTCCTGATTGCCTGCCAAGTCAAACCTTTATCATTTAATAAGCAGGGGAAAAAATCCTCCAAGTCAGCCCTGATCTAAACGGTCCCCATTCCTATACCTGGCCTCTCCTGGGCCAGTCCTGGAAGTGGGACCAGTGCTGATGGGGTCCTGCCCAGCTGCAGGAAGTATCAGCCCTTCTCACACTCAGCGGGGCTCCTTTGCTAAAGCAGCCATGGGGATCGCAAGGAGGAATGAACACACGGCACTGCCCGCTTGGAGAGGACTTTGCCTAGTAATTCAGTGACAGGGCATTCATCTCAGGAAGTGGCAGAGGCACGGGTGCCACACTGTGATTTTGAGACCTTGAGAGTGACCTTGCCCGAGATTGGAGTGAGTCAGGATTCTGGAAATGAAACTAGTTTTCTGACTTGCAGTGCTGTGAGACTATCTTACTTATATTCTTATCTATCTTCTTCACCATGTGTCTTCGGGGCCTGGAACATAGTAGATGCTCAATAAATATTGATTGACTGAATGAATAAATCTGCTTACACCTCTCATGCTTCAAACAGGGAAAGGCTGGATTATTTAGAAGTCTTGTTGGGGACAATAATGAGCTTGTTGAAGCCCTCTAGTTCTCAGTCGAATTTCTCCCTTTCTTTAGAAATGCAGTGGAAGAGCTCTGAAGGGGTGGGTGTGGGATGAGAGAAGATGGAAATTCAGTGGAGAGTCTCTTATGGCCAGTGTCCCCTCTGTGCCAAGACCCCTGGATGTGGCACTGTGGGAAGGTCTGCTCCGGCAGGAAGAATCCGCTTTGGGTCCTTCCCAAATGCCAAATTGTGTGCCACAGAGGACTTGGACTTCTTTCAGCCTCAGCAGGGCCAGAGGAGCGAAACAGTGTGCCTGATCCCAGCGTTAACTGTCCAAACTCCGACCTGGCCTCCCTGCTCTTTCTCGATCCTCTTCAGCCGGGGCACAGCTGTGGGACCTGCCAGGGGACCCTCAGTCCATTACTGCTCCTTGTCAGAGTCCATTCTCAGGGCCCCATATTTGCCTGTGTGCAGCACTGGGCCAGAACGCAGTCCTTAGCAGGGTGGGGGGCCTGGCCAGGGAGTGGGCTTTAGGGCAAGGCTGAAGGCAGCTGATAAGGGGAAACTTCCAGGGAGTTGGTCCCAGGGAACCAAGACCCCCTTTCCTTCTAACCCTTCTCCCAAAGACACCTCAGGCTCCCTCAAACCCCAAGTCTGCCCCCAGGAAGGGGTCAGACAACTCCCCCAGGGGGATCTGTGGCTGGTGAGATTGAAGCTGTGTAGGAAAAAAATGAATCTGCATCTTCCCAGTGTTCCAGAGCAGAAACCAAAGGAGTCCACCTTTAGGGGTGGGATTTCAGGCATCTACCAGCACACAGGGGTCGCCGCACAGGGGCCTGGCATCCCCCAAAGGGTCAAGGCCTTGACCACTTCCTGTGCCCAGGAGAGGTGCAAACACAGAAAGGGATAGTCTGGTCAGAGGCTCAGGGCATGGGGCTGGCAGGCTCTGGTCTCTGCCGGTCTCCCAGCCTGTGGCTGACGCACCTCTGTTGAATTTTGCAACAGTCCTCAGTTCCCAGTGAGGTGGTGAGCCCTGGCCATGTTCTTGGCTCCTCTTTTCTGATGGTATAAGACAACGGGGAAATGCCGTACAGGATGGCGAAGTGCTTGTCAATGCTGGGGGTATAACGGGGTCCCCACGGCTGTCAGCCAAGGATGCCTCTATGGCCTGGGTCTTTGGCAGAACCTTCTGGAGAGGAGCTGGAGTGGGAAGATGTGTTCATTCTCAACTCTGTGGGGCCTCGTCATGAAAAAACATTTCTCTCTAACTTAGATGCTTTTCCTGGCAAAATAAGTTAAAAACAGAAAAGTTGCGGCAACCAAGTGGCACTGAGTTGGAGAGGGCCTGGGCTCCCCCAGGTATTGTCCCCTCCTGAACACACCTGGGGGAGGTCGGGGGAGTGGGAGGGGGAGAGGCGGCTGCGCTGAGTGGTGCTGGTCCTGCCCCCAGGAAAAGCCCTGGCAGCTCTCGGCGGGGCCGCGTGTGCAGCCGATCAATACGGCTTCGGAGCCGCTGAGCTATTATTCACGCCAAAGGGCCTTGTTTGGATGAAGGGAAGGAGGGGGTGCACGAGTTCACGGAATCACAGTCCAGAGCTCTGCTTCTTGGCGATTCCCCCCTCTGTGTTGCCTGCGTTCTTTATGTAGCACGAGTAACGAGCGATTCGGGATGAGGAAGTGCTTTCTCCAAGGCAAGCTGGGGACCCAGGAGCCATGGGCGCAGCGGTGTGTGATGGGGCAGAGGGCCCAGGAGAGATGCGCCCTGTCTTTCCCTCTCTTTAGCTCCTCCTGAAGAAGGGCAGTGATGGGCTCAGGGGATAGGAAGGGGGGCCTCCTTGCCCTTGCTATCCCCTGGTGCTGGGAAACGCTTCCATCCCTCACCTGTCCACCCTCTGCTGCCCAACCCTCAACACATCTGCCCTGCCCTGCCATCTTGCTTTTGCCCTGCTCACCTCTGGTAAGCCGGCTCCTTGTTACTGAGCTGGGATCTCCACAGAGATGGGACCTCCCTCGGCATTCCCTGTGTCTGCCCTCCTCCACAACAGGACACTAACCGTGGCTCAGCCACCCCTTTCAGGAAGTCTTGGCTCCAGACACTGCCAACTCCAGTTGCTGCCTGGGCCTGGCTGCTCTCACCCATCCTGGGGGCAATACTTGTGGCTTCAAGAACTTTTCTGAGCTGTCCACGCAGTCACCTGCCCCGTTTAACAAAGGCTAGCATCTGGTCTGAGAGCCACCTGACTGCTGACATTACGTGGTCAGCCTCTGGCGGGTGCCACTGGTCTGAGTCTGATGGGTTGCAGGTGAAGTGAAACCACCAGAATATCTCTGGGAGTAGCACAGGGTGAGGTCGAGTTTGAGCTAGTCTCAGGGAGTTGGACTGGGGATGGCTCATCACAGAACCAGCCTGCCTGCCTGCCTTCCCTCCCTCCCTCCCTCCCTCCCTCCCTCCCTCCCTCCCTCCCTCCCTCCTTCCTTCCTTCCTTCCTTCCTTCCTTCCTTCCTTCCTTCCAGAAAAATGGCTCTGGGTACCTCTTCTGTTGAGGTGTGAAGGCCATCCCAAGCGGCACAGATTGTCATGTGGCTAATTTATCCTGGATTGAAATGGAGGTTTGAGACTCTCCAAAGCCTGGCATGTCTGCTATTCCTACACCCATAGTAACCAAAGAGGCTTGAGGCCAGGTCTCACCTGGCTCATGCCTGCCAAGCAGGTGCCTCCCACGCCATGGCTCCTGCAGAACCATCTGTCCTTGGCTGGGTGATGCTGGGAGATGCTACACTGAGCAAGGAACATGCACCATCTCTTCCCCTCACACCCATGGTGGAGCCATGTAAGGGGCCGTGTCCCTCTGGCGATGGGAGAAAGGAACTCCACATTCCCTGATATTGACCCAACAGTCCCGCCCTGAAGTGTCAATGAACCAGGTTTCTGAGGGTGGCTTCCACGGTTATATCAACTCATCAAACAAACAGGGTGAGCAGACAGAGACAGCAGCCACAGCATGGAGAAGGCCACCAACTTCCGACTTAGGATGAGGATGATGGTGCTCTGTCCTCCCTGGCCCTTCAAGTTCATGGCCCGTGGAAAAGCCGAGCCATTCACCAATAGCAAGTCACAGAAAGGAAAAAAGACAGAAGGCTCATCCCAACAAAGTATCTCCCTGCTGTGTATTAGGGAAGCTCTGTTTGTAATGAGCTCCAGTTGACTGCACGGAGATGCCCAAGGCGTCCCCCACCGCACCCTCCCGAACCAGCCGACCGGACACACATCTTCCTTTAAGAAGTCTCTACTGGCTCTCCTGCCTGCCCACAGCCCTGCAACCACACACTCAGCCAAAGGGGAAGGCAAGTGGCCTGAAGTCCAGGGACTCACAGTGGTTCCTTTGAAACCAGTGCTGACCACAACCAACCGACAGAACTTGGCTCTGAACTTCCCCTCCACACACACGTTTCTCCCAGGAAAGCCACCTTCACTCCCAAGCATGGAGTGCCCCACTAGGCTAGCAGTTCAAACCAAAGGGATGAGGAAATCATCACTTCTAGTTAATTCTCCACTACGTAGACAAACTGCTATAAATATTTATGATGGGAAATTTCATTATTTAAAAATTCTGCTCTAAATTTCCAGCTCGCTCCATGAAGAATGCCTGCTGAACAGGTTGCAAATTAAGAACAATTATTTTTCTCTGCTGCATTTGAATATAACTTACAGCTAAAGTCATTTAAAGGGGTTAACATCAACCTTAATTAAATATTAAAGTGTGCCTGTACCTGCTGCTATTGTTGCCCCTTCGAATAAGATATAACCTATTTTTGACAAGTTTTCATCTTTCTCTGTGGAAGACGCTACATGAAACCAAATCAGTGGCAAAGAGGAGAGTAATGAATAATCTATTTCATATTCCAACAGTACCCAGAGCTCGGAGTGGAAAAATATTCAGTCAGATGATGGCACGAGGCTGCTGGGGTACCACATGACACAGCTAATGTTTAAATAATAATAATAAAAAAAAAAGCGATAAACAAATCATTAGCCCTTAACAGTTGTTTAATGCAATTTGTTAATGAACGTAATGGTGGGGACTAATAATGAAAGAAAATAAAAACGTCTAAACAGGCGCCAAGTTGCTGGCAATGCGCAATTATTTCCTTGTCAAGTTTTTATGATTTAATGAGCCCCTCTGGGACTGACGGCTGTCAGTCAGTCGTGACTTTTTGACACCATTACAACTTCAAATACAGCAGCAGGCAGGCTGTTTTCCTCGGATTTGAAATACTGAAATGATCTGACAGTTTTAAAGAAAAGATGTGCAAAAAAAAAAAAAAAAAAAAAAGGAGAAAGGAAGAGAAAGACAGTTGCTTTTCCTTTCTTTCTTTTTTTTTTTCTCCCTCCCTTCTTCTACGGGTTGATAATCTCTGGATGCTGTTTGGTAATGAAAACCCAATCACTGAGGTCATTATCAGATGAGGTTTTTGGAACAGGCAGGCTTTTTTCCCCCTCTTTATTTCTTTACTTAATGATAACCCTCCATGGGCTTGCCCCGCATGGGATGGCCAGAGCCGCACAATTTTGTTCACCATTAATTTCAGCCTTTGAAGCTCAGGGCTCAGAAGCAGTAGCAAAGCAAACCCCCCACCAAGCTGGTTCCAAAATAAGACAATCCAGCCTGCCTTAAACAGAATAGCAAATGGCCTCCCAGCCCAGGCCCGGCAGCTGACGTCAAGGCCGCTGCATTTGCTGGCATTCGCCTTCGACATGGAACATTTAAAACTCTTTACAACTTAAGAGACTTTAATTAAATTGCTTTTGATTCTGGAGTGGGGTAGCATCCACTTTATTTATTCTGTCAGGGAAACTCTTTAGTCTGCATGAATTTTATATGGCAAGGGCTTCCTTCTCTTCTTCCTCCTCCATGTCTTCATCTTCATCTTCCTCCCCCCACCCAACTCCATTAAACATCATTTTAAACAAGGGCTGCAACTTGAGAGAGATTCCCTTATCAATGGAGGTCTACACACTAAGCGTCTAGAACCTCTCACAGATCAACTTCACTATCTGCTTCAAGTTTGTGGATGTTCTTCCTTTCCTGGTGGGGCAGGGAAGCAGGGAGAGCAAGTGGCCTCTGCTGGGGCTCCCCTAAGTCTTTTCTGCAGCATCCAGGAGGACCAGGAAGAAGCTGAGGGAACCTTGTGACCAGCTTCCTCACAAAGCGCTGGCTAGCCTGGCCTAGGAGGTTGCTCTCAAGGAGGTTTGATGGAGCTGTTAGGCCAAGGGTTATCTGATCATATTCTTCCCACTCTCAAGGTTGAACTGGGGCCAAATCACAGGCAAGAGCTGATAGAGACATAGAACTTGACCGAAAAGAGCTATTGAGAGCTGAGCGATGCTCTCCTCCGCCCTCATTTCGTCTACGTCAACACGAACGCCAGCATTCAGTGAAATATTTGGGAGCTGGCACGTTTAGATGATCCGATCAACCTTGCTTTGCTAGGTGGCCTTGGGAAGACTCTGCCGCCTCGTAGACGGGGTGGCGGTGGGAAGTTCCGCTTGGAAACTGGTTATACACTTATAGCTAAGATCAACAGCTTCGAAGGAAGCCACCAGAGAGGCTGGCATAATGCTCAACGACTATTCGTGTGTCAGAATGAGAAAAGGGTTGTTTGTTTGTTTCCTTGCTTTTTAATGGCTCTTAGATGTGGTTAGCATGTACAGCATTCCGTTATCAGAATACAAGATTCTTGCTGAGACGGATCCCTTATGCCGACAGGAAAATTAGCATAGCTTCCTGCTCCTTCTCGGTCCTGCTTCCCCAGGCCAAAATCCCACACCATCCCTCCGAAGAGAAAGGCTGCAGCTTTATTTACACAATACTAAATGATTTATCTGAACACATGCAGGCCTTGGCCTGTTTCGATAAGTACAATTTCTCCGGTGGATTCTGTCATTCTGCGTTTCCTCTCTAAACCATAATGGTTTTCTTCTGGGCTGGGAAAAATAGAAAGCACTACATCCAGGTGATCTTGCTTCATGGGCACAGGTGGTTAGCATTTTTGATGAAGAGAACAGGTTTGTTTTTCAAGGATCCAAAGCTTCTAATTACATTCAAAAGACAGTACGGACCAGTAAGTGCCTATGAAGTCTTGAGAAAAACACATTTTGTTTTGTGACTGGGGGGGAATGACCTCAGCTTGGGCAACTTTTAAGCCTGATCACAAATGAGCTCATTTTGAACGGAATTCCTGGTCACCTCAGACAGAAAGAAATGAAAAGAAAAATCACAAAGCGTATTAGAAGTTTGAATACATAGGGAATTCAGGAAAGCCTTGCTAACATTTGTTAGTTAAAAAAAACAAAAACAAAAACAAAAACAAAAAAACCCAAGCCGTTCCTTTTGTAAGAATCTGCCATCCTCTATTTTTTTTTAAAGGAGGTTAGTGAACGTTTTCCATAAAGTTTAACTCTGGTGGATCTTCCTGTAGGACTCTCCCATATTGATAATCACATTTGAAATTTCACACTGATGGAGTCATGTTCTTGCTCTTACTGAAATATTCATGGTCTCTTTACATACTGGAATGGATGTGGGGAGAACCTTGTCAGACCTTTTGCATGTATGAGGACTGCTTTTGGCAGTGCAGATATTAGAACCGAAAGGATACAGAGATGCTTACACAGGTCAGGGAAGACGAGGTCACAATTAAATCCCGTGCCAGGGCTCACTTTGCCAGCAGATTCTAGGGAGTATGGGATTTGGGGAAGGCAAAGAGATATTTCTTTTAGCCCGTAATCAAAGTTGTGAACAGTGAATACTGGGCAGGCTCAGCAAAAATATTCTTGGGTTAAAAAAAAAAATAAAACAAACTTATACAATAGAAAAACAGGCAAAGTGCTAAGTCAATTTCTTGTACAGCTGACATTAAATACCGACAATGAAAGCACTCAGGCAGGTTGAGGACCATATTTATGAAGCCTGTGGGGGAACAGGGCTGCCTTGCTGGACTGGGTCACTGACTCCTTCCACCCCCCTTTTTCCCCCATTTTTTCTTTTCGCTGCATTTTTATCCTCGGACATCACAGAAGAGCTTTTCAGCGACAAGAGGCGTGTGACAAACAGAAGCTCCCATGACTGACTCATCACGCCCTCTCCCAAACCATGGCCCTTGACACGTCCAAAGGGCCAGGAGGAGTGTCATCTGGGCTATTTTGGCTAGTTGACGACATTACCAAAAGGCAAATAAACATTCACCTTCCCCTCTAAAAAACGAATCTGGGTGAAGACAAACCTCGAAAAGGAAACCACATGCAAACAGGAATAGAAAATATTTTTACACTCTTTGCACTTCAGCCCAACGGTGGTGAGGGAGAGAGGGTCACCCGGGGCCTGTCAGCGCAAGAGAATGATTCATGTGACCATTTTGTCTTAATTACTCAGAACAAGCCGTTGTTGCTGTTTATCAAGGGAGAGCAGATACATCAGTGTCTTCTGACAGAAAAAGTGATCGCCATCAGGATGGTGATGACCACGATGATCCCTAGGATGACGAGCAGGATGCGGTTCTGGATGATTCTAGGAGACAGCAAAGGAGAAAAAACACACACAGATAAGTGGAGGGCCGTCCTGCAAACGCCGTCCGAGGCCAGGTTGGCTAATCAAACAGCAGCTTCCCAGGTGGGGGTGGGGAGCCTGTGTGTGTGTGTGTGTGTGTGTGTGTGTGTGCACGTGTGTGTGAAAGAGAGATCACGCAGCTTTCTGGTTCTACAAACGATCCACGAGGAAACGAAAGACTCCACACGATTGTCACGCTGCCCTCTGAGAAATGCTTACTGCAAAGCTAAGGCGAATCAAATGGCTTTCTAGGCTCTGAGGGCCATGTAGCCTCTTTAAGTGATCAAGGGCCCCTTATGAGCTTCTCTTTTTAATTTAAAAGGTGAGACAAGCCTCATTTTTGTGCAGTGTTTCCTGTTAAAGTGAAAGACTCCAAGGAAACACATGTCAGTAAGGTACTTACCTGCACAAAAATACCTGGGGAAAAGTAAAAGAGAGACTAAGGAAGAAAAGGATGGGATTAAGAAGCGAGTGTCAAGTGTGCAGCTTAGGCTGTGAAACCGTCATCTGTCACTGTGGCTCACGCTCCGTGACACCAGGAGGAAACATTACATTTGCTCCATAGCAAAAAAAGATGGAAATGAGAAATGTACAAAGTACTCAAGGTGTCTGTTGGTGGGCCCTCACCTCCAGGGAATCTACCCCACCTGGGTTCTGGCTCGGCTGCATGCTGACGGGGAACCAGCAACTCAGAAGGAGGACCGGAGTGGAGACACACGCTCCCAGATGCCTGCAGAGAGCTTCTGATGAGGTTGTTTCATAATTTGTTACCTCATTCGGAGAAAAGAGGTCGAACATCAGAATGCTTTGTTGAGAGTTTCAAAGGGAACCTAGGTCAAACAGCCGTGCCCACGCTCGCTCTCCCAGAGCCGCACAGAAACAGAGACCTAGGCTGGCTGGCAATCTAGCCGGCTATCTGTCCAGCAGCAAACCCCATCCAACCCTCCTCCAAATACCAAGCAGAAAATGCCTGCTGGTTTACTCCAGTCACTGAATGCTGGACATGGGTCTTCCATGGAGGAGAAGCTGGGGTGGGGGGGGATGAAGCCGGGGCCCCCACAGAACAAAGACCCCGCACCCCTTTGTATCTTCACACACACATAAAATCTTTACAGGGTATCTGCAGCCTTTTCTAGTTCCTAGATGAGTTTATTTCCTGGAAGGATGACATCAGGTTGTAGTTTTAGTCGGATTCCTCCTCACCCGTCCCCTTCTTCAAACCTAAACGGTTGAATGGAAACTGTCATATCAGACCAACCCGCTCCCTTGTGGCCCCCTAAAAGGACAAGCTCCTTCTCCTGCTGACAGGTTACAAAATGATCACATTTGCTGACACGTCTTCCGCAAAACTGCCTTAGTGCCCGTGTCCACTTTCCTCGCCAGAGATGAATGGTCCGCTTGGTCCTCATTTATCACGCAAGCCTCAGCTAAGATCTGTCTCGTTTATTTTTTCCCTTCCCCACTAGAAAGCCTGCACGCCGACATTAATTCTTCTGTGATGACAGCTAATTCAAACTTAACAGGCCATATTTACTCAAGAGGCAGGAAGATTCTCTGTCCCCCAAATAAATAAATAAAAACAGGACTTCACGGCTTATATAGTGAGGCTAATTATGAACACTGATCGGTGCTAGTTGGTGGCTCTGTTTAAAATCCAAATTGATTTTTTCCCCTTTTCTCTGGAAGGGACAGAAACCTTCAGAACAGTCCCTACACATCCCATTTGCCCAAGTCACTGTCAAAATCTCTATTTACCACAGTCACCCACATCAGACTTGCAAAGAAAATCAGCAAAATTGAAACTCAGCAGTGAAACAGATTAAAAGCATGAAAACTCTTTAAAATTTCTGCCTTAAGTAATCCACGGTAGTGTGTCTCTTGTACAGCTTGGTTGACAACCATTTTATTTGTGGGTTGAGGGCCCCAAGGCACCCACGATGCTAATTTAGAAAGGATTAACTGTGGGTGTTACTTGTTCAATCTGAGGCACGGTAAGAAAAATGAATATACAGGAATCCCTAAATCCTTAGCTCTTCCCCAGCCTTCCTAATTGTGCTTGATCGACCCCCTCCTTGGTGCACCCACAGGGCCTGGTGGCTTCCCCTCTACCGCCTGCTCTGTTGCTTCAGAGGGCCCACCTGTGTGGACTGGGACCATATGGAATTCATCTCTACCGCCCCAGCACGTGGCACAGTCGCTGCCACACAAGTCCTCAAAAGAAAACTGTCCAAAGAGTGATCATGAAAGAACGCAGTCTCTGGTAACTGTAATCATGCCATTCAAAGGAGAATGGAGAAGTCTGCGCAATTAATTTGCAGGAAAATCTCAGGGAGTCTGCACGGAAAAGGCTCAAGTTCAAAGTTGAAGCAAGGCCCGCCGAAGATGAAACTTCCTGCCATCACGCCTTCTCAGAGCACTACTGGGTCCTGTCCCGGAAGCTGGAAGAAATTCATGTGTACTGGGTGGGCGTGGGGTGTCAGCAGGAAAGGGCATTTGCTTTCAGACCAGGTGCTGGCAGACATTCGGGAGGAAGAGTAGAGGGGGCGGGGAAAGAGCTGGAAACAGAGAGAGCTGTAAGTAAGCCTGACTGGCTGGGCCATCCACCCAGCCTTGGACCTCAAAGGAGTTGTGCAAATGCGGTTCCTGTCGGGACCAGAAAAGTGAACTCTCAGGGCATCTGGGTGGATAGGACTGAGCCAGTTTGGAAGGGGGAAATACAGGCTGGCATTGGTGGGCCCCATCTGTGAGGAAGCCTAGATGCAGCTGCAGCCAGGGGCTGCCGGCCCATATTGCTGTAGGCAAAGCAGAAAGAATGCAGAGTTCGAAGAGAATCTGAAAAACCAGCCAGGCCAAGGGGTTCCCAGCTAGTGGGAGATGGCTGCGAAGGAACTTGGGGAGAAGCCCAAAGTAACTTCCTCTTAACTTTGGGCAAGGAGGGGAGCTTTATGTTGAACTAGGTCTGCAGCAAGCCATCTTAATCTCCCTTTTGAAAATGCAAAGTGTGTTTACCCAGTAAATAATTTAAGAAAGAATATACACTTGAAAGAAGACATCCATTGAAACAGCCAGGCTAAATTGCCTCCAGGCAAAAACTTGTGCATTTGCATGCTGCATTCTATTAAGTGAGCACACTGTGGCTTTAAAAGAATGCAGAGCCAAAATAAAAGGAATGTGGGCCCGAAACATCAAGGATTCTCCAAGTTTACATTATGAATCACAGTGCTGTTGATACAAGATGAATTAACCATTTACTTTGAGGCTGAACTCACAAAGTACTATTGAAAGTACTGATCCCCACGTGGAACCCAGGGAGCGGTTAATCTTTCCGTTGCCAATCTCCTCCCTGCCTGGAAATGAGCTTCTGCGTGTGGCAGCCGGAATCACAGAAGGCTGGTTCCAGTGCAGGGGGCAGGCGTGGCACCTGGCCTTATAGTTCTCAGCTCTTGCAGGAGGAGCCCAGGAATTCCACTGGGGCGGCATTACAAGTCTTCTCCAACATCCAGTTCTCCTCTACTTCTAGGCATGGATGGCACTCACCTGGATGTAAGGTGTGATCATGGAACTAGCTTTGGCTAAAGAAGTCAGAGCAAAACTTCTGGGTGTCACCGCCAGGTGGAGGCATCTAACGTCCATTTGTCTCTCTAGCTGGCTCTTCCTGCTGTTTTGATTTGGGGGGGCTGTATTTTTCCAGAGGGTGCAAGTGATAGGATGGTGGTAACATCTTCTGCCCGGATCCCGTTGTCATCATGTAAAGGACCAGTGTCCTGGAGACGCACCTGGACTCCCGGTGGACTTGCGTTAAGCCAATGAGGTCTGGGGGTTGCTTGTTACTGCCGAGTACCATAAGCTACCCTGAGTGATACGCTCCTCACACAAGAGGAAGCCTCTGGCCAAGCCAAGAGAGGCTCTGGTTTAATATATTTCAGAAGCCAAAGTATAATGAGGACTCATAAGATTTTTTTTTTTTTTTCCTTGAAGAACAGGTTTTTGCCTCTTGGTTTTCAAAAGCTGAGAACCTTTTCTGACCTCTTGATCGCGACACTTTTCACTGAGGAAGCAGGTGCTTCTTCCGGCTGAAGCCAATGCTACTGTGGGTTGGTGAGTGATGAGATCCTGCATGAGGCCTCGCCAAGCCTAGCCAGGAGGCTGCTTCCTGTGTGCGGCAGATGTACAGTGGCTGCATTCACTTCCCTATTCTAAACAGCTGATGCTACCGCAGCTCCAGGGGTAGAGTTGTGACTGAGGCTGTGATGGTCAGTACCTTCCGTGATGCTCCCGGCCATAGTATCTGGACCAGGAGCAAGCAGGCCCGTGGCACAAGCCCATCCAGCACAGTGAACCTCAGCAACTTTGCTTGAAATGCCAGGTCAGTGGGACGGTTTGGTGTGTGGATGTCAGGTTGGATCCACTGCAGCCCTTTTGTTTCACTGAGGGAAGCCAACCTAAGAAAGAAGCTGACCCTCGGCGGGCAGAGAAATAGAACCCCAGTCCTGAAGACAGAGAACTTTAATTTTTAATTAAAAAAAAATTTTTTTTTTGAGATGGAGTCATGCTCTGTTGCTGAGGCTGGAGTGCAGTGGCGTGATCTCAGCTTACTGTAACTTCCATCTCCCAGGTTCAATTGATTCTTGTGCCTCAGCCTCCTGAGTAGCTGGGATTACAGGCACGCGCCACCATGTCCGGCTAATTTTTCTATTTTTAGTAGAGACAGGGTTTGCCATGTTGGCCAGGCTGGTTCTGAACTTCTGACCTCAGGTGATCCGCCACCTCAGCCTCCCAAAGTGCCGGGATTACAGGTGTGAGCCACTGCACCTGACCGCCAGTGAACTTTTTCTTTCTTTCTTTCTTTCTTTCTTTCTTTTTTTTTTCTTTAAATCAAACCACCTTTTAATTTTCCGGTTAACTTAGTTGGGTCTTCTGTTATTTATGACCAAAAAGCATTTTTAGGTGGAATCAACCTG